GCAGTTTCATGAGGGGAGGAGTCTTGCTCCTCCCAGGGTTTTCAGCAGCATCCTTGGCTTCTACCTACTCAAGGAAAGATTGCATCTCTCCCCCCACCCCCGGGGTCCTGACACCAACGCATGTCCCCCACACCCAGTCTTTACTAAGTGACTCCTGTATCTTTCAAGAAATTTTTAGCAAAGCCGAATGTTCTCAAGAAATTATTGGGGGCAGGTAGGCAGCGTTGAGAAGGAAGTTATGTGGTCCATTCAACCCTATCTTTTGCTTTAATAGTAAGTATAGGACTCAAAAGATGTCAGGTTAAATTTTCCATTTCATAAATGGTGGATCACAAAAAAAAATGTGATCTTAAACACTTGAGTTGCCTCCTGCGTGCCCAGCACACAGCTCTATAAAGAGCAGCAAGGTAAAATAGTGCAATAAAGGGACTGGGCTCATTTAAAACTATGCAGCACTCATTTTAACAGCAAACTATGAATGCCTAACTGGTCAGATGTTCTTCTAGCTAGCAGTGTTATCTTTATAAGACAGTGAACCTTGCCTTTAACTGTGAAGAATAAAGAAAACTGAAGCCAATTTATGATAGTCACACTCGTGATTATAATTCTAAATTATAAAGTATAGTGTTATGCTGCATCTATCTTGATACATTAAAGAGAAGGCAGGATTCTTAGCAGAGCTTCCTCACCCTTCTCTTTACACACACACACAATTCTATACACAATCCCCGAGCATTATGGCCTTTATGTACATTCGGAAAGGTTCCTTTTCATTAACACGAAAGAATAAACACCCAGAGTTAAAAGATAAACACAGGGGCAACTTTGGGAGTAAAATATTTACTACTTTGAATTTTCAAGTAGAAAGATGTAGTCAATGTGTAAATATATAGATTGTATTGTATGTACTTGGTTTTGGCAAATGAAGCCAAAATGTAAATGTATATATTGCACAAGGAGTAGATTTGTCTATTTTTAAAGAGGAGAGTGTCTCATTTCCTCCACACAGGATTAGTAGTCTTGCTGAGATGTAATGTTTGCAGGTTTGGACTAAATGTGCTTTGCCATTTTACTCTCCCCAAAAGTGAATAAGATGAATGTGTTTGTTTGTACCCCAATTTGGTGAATTTATCTGGTTTCTTAGAAACAATCAAATTATAGTAATTGACATAAATAAGAACTTTCCCGATATCAAAGCATGAGAGTCGGACAGAAAGTTCTTATTTAATTGTAAATCATTCTTTTCATAACCTGTTGTTAAATATCATTAAAAATGTTTTTAAAGTAAGCTCCTCTACTTGGGTTTTCATTGCAAAGTTACACATTTCAATATGTCTTAGGGAGTCCTTTTGCTTCAGAACACATTCAAGATTCCATTTAAGGAGACGCGGGCTGTCAGTAGCCTAAGTTTGTGGCCTGACAGACAATCAAAGCAACCGATGTGCCGCAATGTGCAAATCACAGTGTCTCACACACTGAAGAACGGAAGCCGACAGACCGAAGCACGCAGACTGCCGTCACTATGTGCACGGCAGGGAGAATGTGACCGAGCTGCCATCTACGCCAATGCTAAAACACCTCCCACTCTGGTATCAGGCCTTCCTTCATGGGAATTCCCACCCCCAAAATGTATAACTTTCTATAGAAAAATGAGTACATGTGCTTAAAATACAAGCAAGAAAAAAATTGTTATTGTTGTTTTTATTTTTTGTTTTATTTTTCTTTACAGAAAGATCCATATTATTTCTTTATTCAAAAATTTTTCAACAATGTATTTCAACCACACTCTTTCCCCACACTCAACTCTTCCTAGACTCTCCCACCTCCCTACTCAACCAACTTTGGTTTTGTTTCTCTTCTCTCTCTCCTCCCCCTCAAAATAAATAAATAAATAAATAAATAAATAAATAAATAAAACACAGAAAAGCATGGAACTCTCTTTGTGTTGGCCAACTACTCCTGGGCACAGGGTCTGCCCTGGAGTGTGGTTGATGTACCAAATGACACTCTATTAATTTTCCATTTCCCAGCGGAGATAATTGGAAATCGTTTATTGGTCAGAGCAGGGCTTTCTTCTTATCAATGGCTTTTTAAAACCTGTATGGAAGCCCTCATCTTGTCCCGTACAGGTAATTGTATAATAATTACTATTCCGTATTAGTACTAAAAACTACAAACAAACCTTTTGGTTCTGGTCAGTATTAAATTTGGTAAGTCACTTGCAATTATAGGCCTGGATCTACTGCCCTCTGCTGGATGATTCAACTAATTACAACGCACCATGGACTAGAATAGCTATCTTTGCCTCCTGGTTTGTTTAACCAGATGCTTTTTCACATCTGTATGTGGTACGACTTACATGTCAGGTGTGTTTAATTTGAGAGACAGTATGTGAAACCAACAGCACCAGTATTTAACACCACCACAAACATTTAGCCGAATGCTATAAGCTCATGCAGTTCGGTGAGAAAGCCCTTGATCTCACGGAGTTGAAGCTAATGATGGTGATAAATGGCTGGGTGTCATACTTCAGGTGGCATCAGACACTGTAACAAAAAATGAGGCTGAGGAAATGCACAGGAGTCCACTTTTAAGCAGGGTAGTCTGTGGAAGTTCTGTGTGCAAATAACACTCAGAGTCTGGAACAAAGACAAGAAGCAGGGTACATAAATCTCACAAGGAAGAACAATCTAGAAGAGGCGAGAGTGGCTTGCCCACACTAGTCACAGCAATGGCTGGAACAGGATGGGAGGTGGGGAGGAAGGCTACTATGTTGGATAGCAGAAGTGAGAACGCAGGAGTCTGGGAGGTCCCAGCACCCATATGAAGGCCCTTATAGAAACATAGATGAGTGAGGCTGGAAACGGCAGAGAGGCAGAATCACTGTTAGGTGATGGTTGAGTCCACAAGGCCTGGACCATGAAGGGGAAGTAAGGAAACTGGGTTCAAAACTCACCCAGGAATCCTATTAGCCAAGACGTTCATACTCAGGAAGTCAAAACCAAAATCCGAACGACTGCTTCTTAACCAGCCTCGAAACGTGCTGAAGACGTAGTGTGACTTTACAGATCATATCCAAAAGATACAAATCTAGAGGCTACATCAGTGACTAAACATCTGCTATTACTTTTGTGTTTTGTTTGGAAATTTTCAGCTCACGATTATTGAGCTTCTTGGGGGAACTCACTCAGGCCCAGTTAGAGTCCAGGGCACGCGATGTGCTAAGGCTGCGGTTTGTTTTCAAGGCTACTCTTTACTTTAACAGCCAGCTGGCAATGGCTACATGCGACGGTGACATCAGCCTTTCATCTCCAACCACCAATTAACTGTGCCCCTCCTGAGAAGTCGGGGACTAAGGAAGATTCCTTTGAATTCCAGTGCCGTGCACTATAAACTTTCAAGGATGCTCCATTCTGGGTCTTGCAGCGCCTCCCAAATCTAGCCCTACATTTTCATGCTGGAGACTTAAAAGCACAGTAATCCAGGTCACACACAGCATCAAGCCTACTTAATGAAGACATGATTCTTTAAAACCATTTTTAATGTCTGCTCTATGCTCTTTACCTTCAATATTGAAGGTAACATAATTACCTTCAATAAGGGCCTTTTTAAGAGCATTTGAATGGTAAATCTTTTTTGTTGTTTTTGGTTGGTTTTGGTTTTGGTTTTTAGAGACAGAATTTTTCTGTGTAAGCCTGGTGTCCTGGAACTCACGATGTAGACCAGGTTAGTCTCAACCTCACATAGCCAAGCCCCTCTCTAGTGCTGAAATTAAAGGTGTGCACCATCACTCTAAGCTCTAGTAGAGATACCTTAGAAATGGAAAGTATTTCACATTAATGCTAACATCAGGAGTGTGAAATCCTAGGCAGATACACAGTGGCCCAGTAACCTAATGTGTTTTCAGGGTTAGGGTAACTGACTCCAACACCAAGTTCTTGAGATGCAGACTAAAACCTGTGGAAGAAAGGAAGGTTCTAAAGTGAGAGAAGGTTGAGATAGACAGACTACCCCAAATCACTAGTGGAAGTTTATGGTGTAAACGGAGTCTCTCTGTCCCACCTGTTAAGAAAAAGCCTCTACACAGGCACACAGAAATCCAATCAAGCCAAATTAAATCAAATTAAAATTCCCATGTTTTAATAATTGCAGCACTCTCAGGTGGCCGAGAGCATGGGGAGCACATGCGAAACCCATAACCACACGTTTCTCCTGGGGGGGGCTCCCACTTAAATACCCTGTGGGAGTGGTCCTGACCCTCCCTCGGGGAGGGATCAGGACCTGGCATGCTGGGATTTGGAGTCCAGACCAACGCAACTCCTAGGCCAGGGGGCTGGGATGGATGCCAGGGCCTGGGGTGACGCTCCCAACTTAACATCACACCATTCAGTCCCACAGCTGCTTCCAAATAATCACTCAGAGGCTTACATTAGTTATAAATCTTTGGCCAATGGCTCAAGCTTATTATTAACTAGCTCTTACATTTAAAATAGCCCTGATTAATTTATGATTGCCATGTTGCCATGGCGTTTGCCCGTTAGCTGGCATGTTGTTTCTTGGGAGGCTGCTGGCGTCTCTCTCTACTTCATCCTCCTTCTGCCTGTATCTCCACCTGGCTTTCCCACCTAGTATTATTTTTTCTGGCTATAGGAAGCAACACATATTCACAGAAAGACCATCCCACAGCAGGATGGAGATTTTTCTCTCTTCCAAGTGTCCTTCTGACCCAATAATTAGTGGTGGACTAAGGAACAGAGACCAAGTAACCAAGAAATCCCTGAGGATGCATGGCTATCGTGTTGCTCACAGCCATCAAGAAAGACAATCTTCTCATGATAACAAAGATGCAGGACAGGGGTGGGAGTCTGTCATATGATCGGCTTTATAAAACATTGTTGAATATATGAGCTAACTAGGTAAAATGTGGTTTTCCTGGATATAATGAATAGAATTACTAAGCTACTCAAGCCAAAAAAGAAACAAAGAAAAATGCTTCAATCTAGTGTTTAATGGTAGTCTTTATTTTTATTATAAATGCTGCTAATTCTATGATGACGTCTATCAACCAACTATGCTGGGATTTTAATTATTTAGGAGCTCAGAAGGCATCTGAAGTCGCCCCCTACTGAAGCTACAGAAATGACAGATGTGTTATTCATCTGGGTCGTGATGATCACAACACAAGCATCTAAACACCACATTATAGAACTTAAATACATTTTACTTATCAAATATAGGTCAATAAAGCTGAAAAGATTTTCACAACAAATTGTATGGGACTTTTGTACTCGGCCTGCAATGACAGCTTGACCAATCAAAAACAGGATGTCTGATATAAAAATCTTTCAGAAAATTTAATTTGTTTAGTAATAACTTCACACAAGCTAATGTCATATAAACATTATGAAAACTATCCAAACTATTTTAATAAATAATCACATAATTTCCCTAAGGAGTTGTGGGCCAACTTTCAAACATCAGATACCATTTTAACACAAACCATTTTAATGCTAGTTAGTTTTGCAACAATTTTATGCTAATTTTTACAGTCATAAAGATCCTGGTAACTAATGAAATATAAAAAGGTTTACTGTGTAGTTATAGATTCTGAAGTCATAGTGGAATCTATAATATAAAATTTCTTAGATATTATCACTGAATATAAACAAATAGAATCTACTTTAGGCTATTTAAAATCATGATTTATTTGGTTTTACGTTTAAGTTATGTAAAAATATATAATATCAAAACTAACAATGACTTTCTGATCCTGCCGATCTTTTGTAAAACATGCCTGATAATGATGCTGTCAATAGCCCATGGGACAGGGAGGTCTTCCTGGGACAGATGACCGTAAAAGGAAGGTCACAGTCCTTGAGAGCTGGCTACAACCGGGAATTAGTCACAGGATGGTCCAGCAGACCTTATCTCATATTTTAGTCAAGCCTTTAGTTCCTGCAGCCCCTCATCCCACACGCTCACGCATTCTGCTATTTTTCCGTTCGTATCACCTAAGAGATTGTTTGCCACATTTAAGATTTAGGGCACCACCAAACATCCAGCGACTAATCTCCAGCAGCCCAGAAGCACTCTTTGTTTCTTTTCCAAGATGATGCTGGTTCTTCATATATTTCCTAAGAAAACAGAACCACAACAGGTCTTCAATATGGACTAACAAGAGAGAATAAAATGCACTCAGACAATTCAGACAAGAGACCAGGACGTCTACTTCCACCACCCACCACTTTTAACAATCGAAGCGACACTTCCACGAGCACAAGCATAGATGACAGGCAGAAGCTGTCACACGATGCAACTAGAGAAAAGAGTAAGCAACTCCACCGAGGTGCCTGCTCTCCTTTTATCTACTAGCGGTTAGATTAGGAATGAGAAAACGGAAGGCCTTTAGCTTCAAATCCTTTTTTCTTTCCAAACTCACCGACCTGGACATTCCTAAGATTGGGGGTGGGCTGGGTTTCCACCAGCTCTGACGTTACGTGGGAAGCTGGCAAGTGTTTTCCACAGGCCAGTGCCGCTGCCCGCTGTGACCTCTGTGCAGTGCTCTCTACCTGCCTGTGGCCCCCTTGCCTGTGTCTCAGGTGATCTTCAAGTGTGAACTAGGCAAAGAATCAGACTGGAACGCAGACAACCCAACAGGAAAAGATAGGTTATAGCCTCTTCCCACACTGGCCAAATTTCACTTCTACAGAGAGAGAACTCCAGATTCAACTTCCAACTGCCCTGAAATTCATCTCTGTTATTCTCACGTCTCCTCTTCCCCCTCCCCTCTTCTGGTCCTCTCTTTCTCTCACCCTCCCCATTTCCACTACCTTGTTAAATTGCCTTTTCCGGGTTCTCTCAGTTTCCTCACAGCAGCTATTTTAAATGCTTGGCCTGAAAGATGTGCACTGCAAGCCATGGCAAGCCACTAATGCCTTGTCCGTTCCTGGATAAGGTCTGCGGCCCCTGCTCCCCTTCATTGCCTCTGAGCACCTCCACGTTCCCATTTCTCTACAGACCAGCAAATAGAAAGTCCAACTATTCCTTGAAGAATAAACCAAGGGCCTTGCCCACTGCTGCTTCTTGCTCAGTTGCAGGGCTAGCCCCTGCCCCCATCAGCTGTCTTGAATGTCTGTCTGCTCCGCTCCAGTGAAGAAAGCAGCCTTGCCATCTGGCTTGAACCTCATTTGGAACGCTCTCCACTCCTCTCCCAAGCACAGGCTTGCCTCCTATCCTATTCTCTCAGAATCACGTGATCTTTACACATACCCTGCCTTGTAATCCCAGAGCAGTTCCTAAACTCTTTAGCCCACAGAGAGGATCACATTTTACCCAGAAAATACATTCACTAAATTTCCCAGACCCTGGTTCAGGGTCCCACCTGATCATCTTTCCCAATGGCTGAGGCCAGCCACTCTTTTGAGGATAGTCCTGGCCCTGTACAGCTCTTCTGATCCTTTGAGCTGGCATTAGTTCCTTGGTTTTGGGAACAGCCACACTGCTAAGGGAATTCTAGACTCGGATGCGTAAGTACATATTTCCAAGATTTACAAGTACAGAACTGTCTGTTCAATGTTGCTGCAGTTGGCTTGGCGGTGAGGGCTGTTCCTTCAGAATGCTCTATTTCACCAGAGAATTCCTCATTCTTGTTTAGCTTGACTTATTGGCAGAAAAAATGACAGAATGTCCTATCACTGCTTCTATTTTGCATACACACATATGCATATATTGGGGATGAGGTCTAGGTAGCCTAGGAGAGAATAAAGCTTGTGATGTCCCTATCAGTGCCGAAAATATAGATGTATACCATGTCTGGTCACTATTAGTCTTCTAATCCACCCGGTAACATTTTCTCAGACATACTATCCACCCTAAGACAGAACCACTAGATAAAGGCTCTTCTGCCTTAAGGGATTTCTGTTTTAGGCAAAGACTAAGTAGCCGACATCATTCTCACTTTCCTCTAGTAGAACAGAGTCCTTACTGAAAGGAGATTACCATATGAACTGCAGGAATAGTGTGGACTAGAAATTCTATCTGCCAGCACTCATGAGGCCTTTTCCACACCACGCATTCCTTGGGGCATATATTTTTTATGCTTAAACTTGGAAAACAGAAAGATCATAAATGCACCATTTCAGATAAGGAAAACCAGATTCTGCAGGCATGCAAGGCATATGAAACCAAATTCTGAACGTCCTCTTACTTCACAAATGAGCTATTTCTATCACTTACCTTTTTCCATATGGGCACCTTGGCTTTCAAAGAATCGATGGCATAGCTCATGGCTTCCAGGGACGCGGCTCTGTGAGCCGAGGACACAGCAATGATTGTGCTTGCTTCTGACACCGGAACCAAACTTTAACAAGATGATGAAAACAATTACCATTATCTCCTAATTCACACAGTAGAGAAACCACTGAAAGGGTGGGAAAATCTGCTTATAAATTATAATTATACTGTAATTCTCTTTTATTTAAATATTTAGTTTAATTAGAAAATGGTCACTCATGTCAGAGTCAGTGGAAATTAGCATATAGCCATAAAACTTCTTTATGGGGACTAAGAAGAAAAAGTCCTCTCTCTAATTCAGTGATTCTCAACCTTCCTAAGGCTGTGACCCTTTAATACAGTTCCTCATGTTGCAGTAACTGCCAACCATAAAATTATTTTCATTGTTACTTCATAACTGTAACTTTGCTACTGCCATGAATTGCAATGTAAATATCTGTTTTCCAATGGTCTTCAGCAACTCCTGTGGAAGGGTCATTTAGACCCATAGGTTGAGATCCACTGCTCTAATTCAACAGACATCTAATTCAAACAAGGTACAGGGTAAGATGGTATCTAAAGACCAAAGTGACCACACACACTTAACATATAATTACAAATAATACATACCAATTAATCTTAAGTAACATAACTGGCAACACCCAGTAGCATTAGCAGTTAGTAATAAAATTATAGCTAATAACAAAATAATGACAGATGTCTTAACTGCTGGCTTCTTTTAAAATCCTGGAAGGCCATTATTCTTGGTAGTATGAAAAATAAACTGTTTTTAACAGCTTCAGATCTACAGCCAACTTTCAACATAACGCCAAGCCCAGGGCCCAGAACAACTGTCTAAGTCCTTGAGGATTTAAGCAGGCATGCCCGCAGGCACTCGGGCCTGGACCTGAAGGTCTTCCTTAGAGCAAAAGAGGGATCGAGGGCACCCAAACTGCCGTCCAATAAGCAGTCCAGGAAGATGCTGGGAGACCTCTCCGCTGTCCTCCAGGGGAAAAAACACAAGCCTTCCATTCTCAGTAAGAGACAGTCAGTATCAACAGACAGACAAAAAGCAACCAAATTCAACATTCAAAAGGCAAGGAAACCCTACCCAAGTCGATGGAACACCGCGATGTGTCTGACTGGCCATTTCTGCCTGATGTCAAGACAAATTTTTCTGATTTCATTTTCTGCCATCGGTAGATAAGCTTCATATTCTAAACTAGTGACTTTTTTGCCTTCAAAGTTATTTCTTGTAGTCCCTAAAAAAACAAAACAAACAAAACCACACAATGAAAATAACATTTTTCCTATACTAGAAATACTTCATTTACAGAATATTTTTTTTAAAAAAGGATTGTTTCTAACTTGCAAACAAGTATTGTACATTTGTCTAAAACCTACTTTAAATTTTCTACAGGAAAAACCTGATTAGGAAAATGAACAATAACCATCTCCAAGATGGTCAAGAAATAATAATAATTAAGCAAGCTCCCTGAAAGCATTTATTCCAAAACAGACTGTGTTCCTCTTCTTACCAATAGTGTTTCATACTTAAAAGAAAAATATCTGCGTTCCCAGTATTATCAAAAAATACATTTTTACCTCAATATTTGGAAAATGCAAGTTTTTCTCTTAGCATTGACTTTTTATCATGCCTTTATTATCCCTGTAATTTAATACAGCTTGTTAATCAAAAAGTAACTAAGATAAAACCAGAACTGAGCCAAGTGGTGGTGGTGCATGCCTTTAATCCCAGCACTTGGGAGACAGAGGCAAATGGATCTCTGTGAGTTCAAGGTCAGCCTGGTCTACAAGAGCTAGTTCTAGGACAGGTTCCAAAGCTACAGCAAAACCCTGTCTCAAAAAACCAAACACATACATACATACATACATACATACATACACTACATACATATTAAAAAGTTTCTGTCCAATTCCAAGGGCAATCCTGGTTTGCCACTCAGTACCCTGTGCCCTTTGACTGTTGACACTAACACAGAAGTTAGTGTCACTAGTTCCTACTCTGTTGCAGAGGAAATCACAAACTCACCTACAAAGAGAGACACCGCACCACACTGCGGGGAGATCACCAACTGAGAGACTTCATCCACTGAGAGCTTCTCTGCAGTCAACAGTATTATGTCTTTAGGTTTCTCTTCAACCTCAACCACATCTTTCCTAGAAATAAGATGTCAACAGCCTTCAGCGAGAGTGTCAGAAGTAACACATAAGACTTACATGTTGTTTCCATGTCCCATTTTCTTCTTTATCAGGTAGGAAGAGGAGGATTTGATCTGAATGATAAGTTCAAAGTTCTATCAAATTAATACAACTATTACTATCCCTCATTAGTCTACAGGAATTCTACATGGTCCTAATCATCTAGACATGTCCATATCATGTGCCAATATACACTAAGAATGTAATTATTGTTCTTCTCTCTCATACGATACAATTGAGGTATCACCACTTTCATCTGTATGTATGTCATCACTAACTACTATGTAAGCGAGCCCCAAGACCAAAACATCACTAACCACTATGTAACCAAGTCCCACACCTAGAATACCGCTAACCACCAAGTAACCAATCCTCACACCACCTAGAAGACCACTATGTAAATGAGCCCCACACCTAGAACATCACTAACTACTATGTAAAAGAGTCCCACACCTAGAACATTACCAACCACCATGTGACCAAGTCCCACATGACTTAGAAAGTCACTAACCACTATGTGGCCAAGTCACACACCACCTAGAACATCACTAACCACTATATAACAGAGTCCCACAACTAGAATATCGCCAACCACCAAGTAACCAAGCCCCATACCACCTAGAACATCACTAACCACTATGTGGTGTAGGAGGTCCTTTGATCTTTGTGTTGCTTTCATTGGTTAATAAAGAAACTGCTTTGGGCCTGGTGATAGGGCAGAACTTAGTTAGGCAGGGAGATGGAACTGAATTCTGGGAGGAAGAAAGCAGAGTCAGGGAGACGGCATGGATCCTCCGCCTGAGACAGACACAGGTTAGAATCTTTGCTGGTAAACCACTGCCACATGGCGATATACAAATTAATAGAAATGGGTTAAATTAATATAAGAGGTAGCCAATAAGAAGCTAGAGCTAATGGGCCAAACAATGTTTTAATGTATATGGTTTCTGTGTGATTATTTCAGTTCTAGGTGACCGGGACAAACAAGCAGCCTTCCTTGTAACCACTATGTGCCCATGCCCTACACTTAGATCACCACCAACCACCATATGACCAAGTCCACACCACCTAGAACAACACTAACCGCCGTGAACCCAAGCTCCACACCTAGAATGTCCTTTTCGTTTATTCAAGCAAGACATGGGAAGAGAGAGGAGACAATGATTCCATAGGAACAAGGAGCCCTTCACAGTCTGGCTCAAGCCCAGTAGTCATGGAGGAAAGAAGGTAACGACTGTGACCTACAATCTAGATATTGTATAAAGTCTTTTTTGGTATCTCATTTATTCACCAAACAGTAATATGCAATGCCATATTTTATACTACGCTGGGTAGTTTTATGTCAACTTTACACAAACTAGAGTTATGTGTAAAGAGGTAACTTCAATCTTTCCATACCAGATGGGCTGTAGGTAAGCCTTGGGGGCATTTTCTTGATTGATGATTGATGTGAGAGGACCCAGCTCACTGTGGTGGGGCAGAACCCTTAGGCTAGTGATCCTAAGTCTAAGAGAGTGGACAAAGCAAGGCATGATGAGCAAGACATGAGGAGCAACCCAGTTCTCCATGGCTTCTGTTTCAGTTCCAGCCTTGAGTTCCTGTCCTGGCTTCTCTCAGCACTGAGTACAACCTGATAGTTCTAAGCAGATATAAACTTTTCTGTTCCCAGCTTGCTTTTGGTCATGGTGTTTTATCATAAGAACAGAAATGCTAAGACAGAGACTACCCTAGGCACTGGTCTGCAGGGAACAAAAGCACAGGCTCCTGGACTCAGAGAGCTCATATATGAGTAGAACAAGAAAACCAATAAAGAAGCACGGGTCCAGGAAGATGGCTCAGCAGCTCCTCAAGCCTAACTACCAAGTTTCAAGCTCAGAACATACACGAGGGAAGGAAAGAATCAACTCCTACAAGTTGAACTCTGACCTCCACATGCACCCTGTGGCATGTGTACATTCACACATAGACACAGACACACAGAAACACACACACACACACACACACACGAGGAATGCAAACCTACCACACTGATAACTTACTAGAAATAAATGGATTTCTGAAACAGGTCTCAGGGATCACAAAGGTCTCTCTAAGGAGATCATGTTGCAAATTCAGACCTGAGAGATAAGAGGCAGGCGCCGTGAAGAAATGGGAACAGGGTGTAGGTGCTAAAGGGAGTGGCAAATGTCAAGACTCTGGAACAATAAGAGCTTGATATGCCTGGCAGCACAGGAGCAAAGAGAGACGCTAACCTGAGGAGGCCAGGGATGAGGACCTTACCCTATAGGCACAAGAAGTGTGATTGGAAGTCCCGTGCCAGTTCACTGATTAGAAAAGTGAAAGAAGGCTCGGAGAAGTCATTAAAGATGTATCTGAAGTACTGAGAATTCATGAAGTCTTAATCCAGTGGTGTTTCCCTATTACCCAACTTTAAGAAAATAAAGAAGGCACCTGACTCCTGGGATTTCTTGCGTTCTCTACATGCCATCTGGGGTGCCCGGCCCCTTTCCACCAGAGCTTCACAGCCTTTCCAATGCTGCGGCCCTTGACTACACGTCCCCGTGCTGGGGTGACAATTTTACTTCTGTTATGAACTGTGATGCAAACATCTGATATGCAGGGCATCTGATACATGATCCCTGTAAAAAGGTCATTTGGCCCCCAAAGGGGTCATGACCCACAGGTTGAGAATCACTACTTTACACCCTTTTGGATTCTGATAACACAGAATCCCAACAGGTCACCTGTGTGCTTCCCACCATACAGAGTCCCCTTCCCTCTGATTGTACAAGACTACCCAAAGTTAGCATGCAGGTTCTAAAATCAGCTGAGAAATCACTCAAACGAGAGCTTTACAGACAGCGTCACCTCCCCAGCCCCCAAAGATGAGTTTCTTTTTTAACTTCTCTGAAATTGTTTTCCCAACGTCAAAATACAAGCATAGTAAGATCTCAGTAAGCAAATGTAAAATAAATATAATGAACGCATCCTCCTGACATTAAACCGCTCACTACTGAGGTGATGGGAGATGGGAGACAGTGTACAACCCTACCTACCATCAGTGAAGCTGCCCCATTGATGTTGCATCAGTAAAGGACACAGCAAACCAAATACAAGCTATCATGCATAGGGTCCTGCAGCACAAGACTAGCTAGGAAAAAGAGACACCACACACCTAGCTGGCTCCAATGCCCTATCCTCCGCTAATTGGGGGGATAATGGCAATTTCATCTCCGGGCTGAAGCAGGAGTTGCTGATCTCCAAGCTCGACATACTCTTGACGAACAGCAAGGATCACCTGATTTCTAACATCGGCCAGTCTGAAAGAGAAACAGTCTGTTAGAAGGGGCAAAGTGAGCTCCGCCTCACATCTCCTCGGCTGCACTGAGGAACTCATCGCTCACAAAGGTATTAATCTAACTCTCATTCTGTAGAGGGCATAGCCCTCGAAGAACATATTTGATGACAAAGATGTGGTAGGTTACTATTTGCTGAAAAGTCAAGTGTTTGGTGGAGGAAAATAAACAAATACCCCCAAACTAGACGAGGCCAATATTCAAACCTTTAGAGAAAGCGAGAAAGAAAATAACTTCCTAATCAGAACATGGTGTTTTCTCAGGCCTAAGTGTAGACAGCGATAGTCTAGCTGAGACGTCTCCCACGAGGACAGTTGTGTCCCTGAAAGTAGGTAAAAGAGCACAAAGGTTTGGCCAAATTTTCACTGAAAGTAAAAGCAATCTGAAAGACTCCAGGGGAAGTATTGCCTGCTGAGCACACAGGGAGGGCAGTTGTCTTCTGTACCCAGCACTGAGTTCTGGGTCAAGCCTGTCTACAGAGCAGAAGCAGCACTCCTGGCATTCCTGGGACATTGTCAAATAAATTCCCTCTACATCTCATCAGAGAAGGGCTCGAGGTGAAGATGATGGCAGTTACATTCAGACTTTCAAATGCCAGGAAGACAGTTCTCAAATTTCATAAAACGCCAAGCTCAGCAGCATGTAGTGTTTGTTATATTTCTTTAAAAAAAACTCAGAAAAATTTAAATATTTTAAAGAAAAGGACAGAAACACTTACAATGAACATCTTTTAAAAGCATCTTTAAAATTCTCACCTTAGGTTACAAAAGGCACAACTTACATTTTCTGCCCTAGAAGCTATAAAGATGGTGGTAAATTATATAAACAAGTCTAGGGGCATCCACTTTACTGTGTCGTTATTTTAGAAAATTACCTGTAATGTTGTTAAACATTTCTAAATATGGGAGTTTTAAGAGTTCAAGAAAAATAAAACTAGTATTCTTATGTTACAACACACACACTCACATATACACACACATAATTTACACATTTCATAAACATCAAAGGGTCCATTCTATGAATTCTACAACTTTAACTACCCAGGATGCAGAGTCTCTATCTCCTTCCACAGCTGCGACGCTTTGATTTCCTGCGGCACAGAAATGGTCTCCGAACGAACTCCAGTTATTTCAGCACTTTTTGCAAAATACAACACTTCAATCTGAAACAGGAAGAGATGCTTTAAATGGCTCGCACTGGGAAGTTTCCCAATGTAGCTGCTCGTAAAACTTCAACATATCCACAGATTCATATTCGAGGCAAACGCTTTAAACCCAGCTCTGATTTCTTCATACTTTTTAAACCTGTCACAAGCTTGTGTGGCACCATTAAATCTTAGTTTCTTTCCTTAGAAAACATGGTTAAGTGTGACTTCAACTGACATAGCATTGATTCTTCCATAAATCATAAAGCAGTGAACGCAGGTTCACTGGAGCAAGGGGTGAATTACATAAGTAAACTAAATAACTCAATCAGCAAAGGTCCAGCTTTGATTTCACGGTGGTCAAATGACCTTTGATTCGGGTCGACATTTCGGTTAAGTTACACAACACACAAAACTTGGCATCCAGCAAAGCAAATGGTCTTGAATTACAGGATAAACAGGTACTGCCTAGGCCAAACCTGTGCAGTCAGCCTGGGAACTAAGGAACCTGACCATGCAAAACAGCTCACTTGTCACTCAATACCACTTAAGTCTCTACGCAATTATGGAGTCTGCGAATTATCCAATGCCTGTCAATCCAAAAGAGGTAGGTCGCACATTTCCTCGCGTTTTATTTAAAAAAAAAAAAAGCAATTTTCTCTATCGAAATGAATCCATGAGGAATGACAGGAAAACAAAGTCTAGGTGCCTTCAGCAGGGAATCGGTCCTGCAGGCCAGGACCTGGACACCAGAGTCCGGGAACGGAACTTGATTTTCGGTGAGCTGCAGGCACAAGGCCCGGAGCAGGGACGGAGTGGGGAGGCAGGGCCTCCCGAGCAGGGCCGGGACTGTGGTGGAGCCCCGAGCCCAGACTAGCTCTCGCACGCAGAAAACGCTTACCTGGCACCGTGGAATCATCCCGCTGCATGACAGAGAGCTGGTTTACGACCTCAGAGGCACGCCGGCTGACTCAAGGCGCATGCGCAGTCAGATGCTCCTCTAGCTCCGGACCAGTGCGTGCGCACACTCCGCCCCGCCCCGCCCCGCCCCGCCCCCTCCCCTTCCTGATTTCACAAAAGTTCTCTGCTGCAGTTCCCTTTGCCTTTGTGTCTCTTATCTGCAGGTCAGCTGGTATTCCCGCATTGCGGCCTTCCATCTCCATTCCTTCTCCTCTGCGACCCTCCATCTCCATCCAGGGTGGGATTCGGGTTCTTCTCCCAGCCTGGGGACCATACCTGACTGACACTTCAGTGTTCTGGGCGCTCAGAAGTTTTTGAGTCAGCGACTCGATCCAGACTTCCTAGTCGCAAGCCTCTGCCATAGCTGTCACAGGGGTACGTGGATTTCAGTGGCCCTGGCTGGGCACGCAGTCCTGAGAGAAGACTAAACACTCGTCAAGGTTAAACGGTAACTGTGTTCCAAGTGTAATTCTAGGGGAAAAAAATCTTGATGACAGTGGAAAGGGGTGTGTCAGAGTCACTTGCTGTGAGAAGTCTCACCGAGGAGATTCTTGTCCCAAATAAACTTGCCAAAATAGTAAAAAAATATGGTAGGAAGGGGCATTTCATGTTTCTGTGTCAAGCAATAGTAGTATAAAATTGGGTAATAAATTCCCAAGAGGAAAGTAGTTGGTAAGGTGGGTGTTTACAGTTCGATGAAGGAAAAGAAATACTGGAGGCAGAATAAGATTTATGGTTTACATCAACATATAGTTTGGTAAAGTTGTGAAACACTAAGGTTGAAGGTTTATGCCCACATCGTGTTGGAAAAACAAGAAAACTATGACAGTCACCCAAGGATCCTGAGTGGCGTCCAATGACGGCAATATCTACAAAAGGCTAAAAAATAAATCATGGTTTAATGTGATTATGCTACCGAACTGGAACACATATAGGCCAGACCCTATTATTCTTGGTGGGAAGGGGCTCGAAAATTACCCAAGAAGAACCCTTACTAAAAACTTTCTCGGGTAGCCTCAGAACTGAGTCAGAGGTTAAAGGCACTGGCTACTCTTCCAGAGGACCCAGGTTTAACTCCCAGTATCCACGTGGAAGCTTTCAACCCCCCGGAATGCTAGTTCAGGGGGATCTGATGCTGTCTTCTGGCTCACAAGATTCCAGGTGCACAGGGGGTGCTCAGACATGCTGGAAAAACACCCACGCACATTAAAAAAAAATAAAATATTAACGACAAAAAACCCTTCTTTGGGAAAGATTTCATTAAAGAATGTGACTAAAATAAATAGCTCCATAATAAATTAATTGTAAAAACAAAGCGTGTTAAAGTTTTAATCCATTTAAATATATAAAAGCCGATTGTGAGACCATGATTACACTCTAAAGTGTTCCTGACATCAAAATACTATCATTTATTTTGAAAACATTAATGAAAATAGCCAAAAATTGAAGTATGTAATTAAAAATCATTAAGTTTCTCTATAGTTTTCATATTGATGCCTCTTATTTTACAAGATTCTTAGGGCTGGGGATGTAGTTTGGCTTAAAACCACAATCCACAGGCCTGAAAAATAAAATTTAAATAAATCTTTTAAGAGCTAGAATAAAAACTGGTTTGTCGCTGTTTAATGTTGAGAATCTTGCTGTTTCATTTCTGAGTTATTAGTGAGATGACTTTTCATGTTTCTTTGGCCTCTTATACTTTGAGTTTGTATTTATTTTTTCCTTCATTTCCAAATGAATAAAAGGCATACAGCCCTATCTCTAAGCTCTGGATTTAAAGCAAGACTAACACCAGGATATTTTCATGTTATGCCAAAGACTTGATGATATCTTAATTAAAAACCCATTAATTGCATAAGTGGGTGATCAGAATGGAGTATAATAAATTAATTAAAAACAGCAAAACCTCTTTAGTAGCATGATTATTATTTGCTTAAGTTAGAATTTATTATAAATAATATCTAGAACCACCATTTTCTCCCTGTACTATAGAAATGGCATTTAGTTAAAAATAAGAACATGAGTTCAGATAAAGACACTTCTATTTTATTTCCAAATTTTTTTAAAAGGCTAAATTCTATGATTCTAGAAATGTAGGCATATTTATGTTCTTCACAATGGGCTCTGTGAAGATTTCATAAAGATAACTTGATCTTGGGAAAGGATTTTCAAAGTGTGCATTTCCTTTTCCAAAAATAAGATTTCTCAGAAATGTCTGACAGGACATTGTAAGCATTACAGTGAGGATGGAGAGATATCCTGGCAGCTGAGAACCAAGGAGCTCTCCAAAGTCACTCTGCATAACACACCTCCCACAGATTTATTGGGAGGAGAGAAACAGGAAGGTGGCTCCCTTGGCTCAGCTGAGAAACAGAAACAGAAGCAACCAGGATAGAGTATCTTGGGTGGGGTCAGGGTCCTGCAGTTAGAGTATTTTGTGGGTAGAACCTGGCAGTTAGAGGTTCTTGGGGGAGGGACTTAAATTCACTAGAGTTTCTAACGATCTTTGAATACAGAGGTAACTGCATTCCCTGTCCAAATAAAATTGTTTAATACTTTCCACCATTACTAGTACACATTGTTGCTGTGTAACAAGAACTCAAACTTATGTTAAGAATACGTCAGGAATAAGACAAAAGCACGGTGATGGGATGGCTCAGTGACTAAAATTCTTATCGCTGAGCCTGACGACTTTCGCTGGTTCGCAGACCCCATAGAAGCAGAGAACTGACGAATGCAGGTTGTCCTCTGGTCTTCACTTACTGCTTACAGCTCACGTGAGCTCACACACACCCGCACATACACACGAATACATAAATGTAAAGATTTACAGGTAAGAATAATGCAGAACCACAAAGTAGAAATGAAATTCTAAAGGAAATACTGATACTATTTGAGAAACAAACATTAAATAAGAAAACCACGGTAAGAATCAGAGTCAACTGTAGCATGATTAATAAACACCCAGAGACAGAAATTGGGGTTCAATCTGAAGGTCAGAAAAGCAAAACAGCCAACTAATGGCTCAGTCTGAAATAGTGATCCTGTTTCCAGAAATCTAGAATGAGACTGTGTGTAACAGCTGTCTCCTCCCGTCTTATACCCCTCTCTAGTAAGTGGAGGCCCAAAACTGTGAGCCTATTCCACCTTGTCTGAAGGTCAGAGAGTTTGAGCTTATGCAAAGTCCTTGAAGACTACTTCAGGCAAACACACCCTGACCTAGGGTGTGGTTGCTTGGTGTTTTGGACGTTAAGGTGGCCCCTGGAGATAGCTCCACTCCATCCTGACCAAAGGTCAGAGAATTCAATCGCACTTCTCCGTCTTTTGAAATAGGAGATTTGGCCTAGGGAGTGGCTGCTTTCAGGATACTTGGTCTAGAATGGGTTCACTGACTAAACAAGTGAATTCTTTTCTCAAGAAATAAGACTTGATGTCTCAAAGTACTGGGGCAAGTAATTGTTCTGGTTGTCCTTTATATAATGTTAAAGTAGCCTTTTGCCATCCCCTTTTCTGTATTGGAGTATAAAAATGTATGGAAAATTAAACATGGGTGAACTCAGCACTCAGAACTCAGTGTGCAGGAGGCCCTGAATTGCCTTCCTGTTACTATTCCTTGTCTCTGTGTTTCTTTCTTATCTCTGTTCCTCCTACCTAACATTTCTAATCCTCAAGCCTCTACCCTGGAACGTGTGAACCTGCTGTGGCTAGAATTGCAGCAGAAGTCATCCCAAAAAGATGGCAAGTGCTGGGATAAAAGGTGTGCACCACTACCGCCCATTTTCTAAGGCAAGCTAGTGTGGCTACTGGGATTGAATGTGTGTCACCACTGCCTGGTCTTAAAGACTGATCAGTGCAGCTGTTTTACTCTCTGAACTTCAGGCAAACTTTACTTATTAAAATACAAATGACATATCGCTTTAGTCATTTATTGTTCTAGACCAGTGGTTCTCAACTTTTGTAATGCTGTGACCCTTTAATACAGTTACTCATGTTGTAGTGATCCCCAACCATAAAAATTATTTCATTGCTGGTCCATAACTTTAATTTTGCTATTGTTA